GCTTGAGCCCAGGAGTTTGAGGTTGCTGTGAGCTAGGCTGACGCCACCGCACTCTAGCCCAGGCAAAAGAGTGAGACTCTGTCTCAAAAAAATAAAAAAGAAACCTCAATAGCAAAGGCCTGGAAACAACTCAAACATCCATCAAGGTGACCGGACGAATATACGTAGCATATTCACCCAACAGAATATTAATCAGCACTGGAAAAGAGTGAATCACAGTGACATGCCACATGTAGATAATTCCTAGGAATATAAGTTAAGGAGGAAAAAACAGTAGTAATAGATCCCAGAAGATAAATGCAGTTTAATGCACTTTTTAAAGAATTAAAAACAATTGAAAATTTAAAATAAGCTTTTTAAGGAATACAAATAGGTGGCTAAACTATATGCAAAGGGAAGCAGAGACACAACGAACACAGCAGCCTGGATGATGGTTGGCTGAAGGGTGGGATGGGGGAGAGGGGGACAGATTAGATGTTGCTAGAAGTTCTTGCTTTGTTTCGACAGTTTTTGTTTTGGCTTTATTGAAGGTTAATTTACATATAATAAAATTCTCCAGTTATCATTATAAATTTTTTTTTTGAAACAAGGTCTTGTTTGGTCACTGGGGCTGGAGTGCTGCGGCATCATCCTATCTCACAGCAACCTCAAACTCCTGGGCTGAAGCTATCCTCCTGCCTCAGCCTCCCAAGTAGCTGAGACTACAGGTGCACATCACCATGCCTGACTAATTTTTCTATTTTTTGAAGAGATGGGGGTCTTGCTCTTGTTCAGGCTGGTCTCTAACACATGATCTCAAGCGATCCTCTCCCCTCGGCCTCCCAGAGTGCTAGGATTGCAGGTGTGAACCACCACGCCCGGCCTTCATCATAAAATTTAATGAGCTTTGGCCGGGCACCATGGCTCACGCCTGTAATCCTAGCTCTCTGGGAGGCTGAGGTGCGCGGATTGTTTGAACTCAGGAGTTCAAAACCAGCCTGAGCAAGAGCGAGACCCTGTCTCTACTAAAAATAGAAAGAAATTAATCAGACAACTAAAAATATATAGAAAAAATTAGCTGGGCATGGTGGCACATGCCTGTAGTCCCAGCTACCTGGGAGGCCGAGGCAGGAGGATCGCTTGAGCCCAGGGGTTTGAGGTTGCTGTGAGCAAGGATGACGCCACGGCACTCTAGCCGGGGCAACACAGTGAGACTGTGTCTCAAAAAAAAAAAAAAAAATTAATGAGCTTTGACAAACATATACAGTCCTGTATCCACCACCAGAATTATGAGGTAGAACATTTTCATTACCCCCCCAAATTCCCCTCTTGCCTAGTCACATTCTATCCCCCCAACCACCCCACCTGGCCCCTGGCAACCAGCGATCTACTTCTGCCTATACTATCGTCTTGCCTTTTCTAGCATCGTTATGAATAAATGGAATCATACAGTATATACCTTTTGTTTCTGGGCATCTTTTGCTTAGCACAATGATTTTAAGATTTCTCTATTTTATTACAATTGATATGGTTTGGAAGGAGGTATCTACATTATTGAAAATAACTATGTATCTAACCAAATAAAAGTGATCCACAAGTAGACTAATGATACCTTTTCAGGAGCCAGTGCTCAGAGGATGTCATGGACTAATCCATGTGTGGTTAATCCAATTCTGCTACTTGAAATCCAAATTTAAACAGAGGGAGAGTAAGAGAATGAAAGACAGAGAGATAGGTGAGTGCCAGACCCGGCAGGTCCTCTTTGCAGGTGGGAGCCGTAAGGAGTTGGGTCTTTAAGCACAAGGACAAAGCGCCGGGTTTCGGGTGGGGGAGGGGATCTGGGATCTCATTTCTACTTGGAAGCCACCTCTTCCTGGGTGCTGTGTGGAGAAGCATTGCAGGAGGACCAGCTAGAGCAATTGCGGTGTCACCTGGGCGGAGGGGCTTGGCCAGGGGTGGCGGAGACGGAAATGGAGAGATATGGGTGAGATCAGGGTCTACTTTGGAGAGAGAACAGGGCCTGAGATCATCTCTGTGAAGTGTTAAGCACAGTGCCCGGCACTAAATCAATGAACTGAATTCACATTGATTTGTGGAAACGACTTAGCACATCCTTGTTGGCTGTTGGAAATAGCCTCCCAGGCCGGAGCCTGACATTTTGTAGGTGCTCAACAAACGCTTGCTCAGTGGGGTGGACCAGCCCCTCCGGCTTTCCTGAGCCATCCTCCTCGCTCCTCACACAGCGCTCTGAGACGCTCCACTGGCCTTCCTAGCACGGTGTCTGACTCGGCAGGTGGCCCTCCTTTGGGAAGCCTAGCAGGGGGCAATGCTTAGCCGCCTACAGTGGAGCCCTAGTTGGGGGAGGGTCAGCATGGAGCTGGGCCAGTTTCCATTTAACAGTGTGCCCTCCCCTCGCGCCCACAGCAAAGCCTGCCACTCCAACAGCCCAGGCCTGGAAAAGGTGTATGGACACAACAGAGGCAGCTGTGAAAATCCTTCAAACTGTGATAAAAAATAGCCCCATCCTCCCCTACTCCCAGTTCCCTATGGGCCTGGACATGTTTATTTGCTCAGCTTTGTAGCTCTGAGCCATTCCCCAGGCCGGGAGGTGAGGGAGAAGGAGGGAGGGGCCCAGGAGGTGGTTTGGCAGGGGGTGGGGGACAGTCAGATAGGCCCGGGTTCCAAGGTATTATAGAACCGCTGAAACAGCGTCTAAAAGGCAGATCTAATCCAACCTCTTCTGTCTGACAGACAGGGAAATTATGACCCAGAGAAAAGCTAAGCCTTGCTCAAGGGCCTTTTGTCACTGCTTGGCCCAAGGGAGGGTAACCCAAGGGCGCAGGGAGGGCCCACTCTCCCTCCCCCAGCGTGAAACAAGAAGCTTTGGTAGCCCTTATCCAGGTGGCCTTGAGCAAGTCCCAGCCTCTCGGTGGAGGCCAACTGTCCATCA